GCACAAATTTTTGTGCACCGGGCCTCTAGTCAACCATATAAAAGAGGACTAGTTAGAAATGATCGATACAATAACTGAAATGAAGACTAATTTACAGGGATCAACAGGAGAAGAGAAAACACTGACAAATCAGTGATTTGGACTATGAGGAAGCAAAACAAAACAAAACAAAACAAAAAACAAAACAAAACAAAACAAAACAAAAAAATGCCCAATCAGAAGAGCAAAAAGGAAAAAGAATCCAAAAATATGAAGACAGTGTAAGGAGCCTCTGGTACAACTTTAAGCATACCAACATTCACATAATAGGGGTGCTGCAAGGAAAAGAAAGGGAGCAAGAAATTGAAAACCTATTTGAAAAAATAATGACAGAAAACTCCCCTTACTTGGTAAAACAAATACACAAACAAGTTCAGGAAGTGCAGAGAGTCCCAACAAGATGAACCCAAAGAGGCCCACAGCAATACTCATCATAATTAAAATACCAAAGGTTAAAGACAAAGAGGGAATCTTAAAAGCAGCAAGAGAAAAGCAGTTAGTTACCTGCAAGGAAGCTCCCATAAGACTGTCAGCTGATTTCTCAACAGAAACTTTGTAGTCCAGAAGGAACTGACCAGAAATATTTGAAGTGATGGAAAGCAAAGACCTAAAACCAAGATTACTCTACTCAGGAAAGCCATCATTTAGAATTGTAAGTCAGAAAGAGTTTCACAGACAAAATAAACCAAAACAAAACAAAAAAAACTAAAGGAGTTCATCACCACCAAACCAGTATTTTGTGAAATGTTAAAGGGTCTTCTTTAAGAAGAAGAAGAAGAAGAAAAAAAGAATCAAAATGTGAACAATAAAATGGCAAAAATACATATCTATCAACAATTGAATCTAAAAATCAAAATAAATGAATAAGAAGTCTAATTAACACAAGCTAATGAATACAATAAAACAGAGACATGGAAACGTGGAACAGATTGATAAATCTTGAAGTGGTGGGGTGTGGGAAGAGATTAATCAAAGATCTTATATGCATACTAGAGGCCTGGTGCACAAATTCGTGCACAGGTGGGGTCCCTTGGCCTGGGCCCCACCCCGGCAGGCCCAGGGGAGAGACTGGGGGAGGTTGGCCAGCTGGCCTGCTCTGATCTGGGCTGATCGGGGTCAGCCGTCTCAGGGAGGGGCCACGGGATGTTGGCTGCCAGGGGAGGTTGGCTGTGGGAGCACATTGACCACCAGGAGGCAGCTCCTGTGTTGAGCATCTGACCCCTGGTGATGAGTGCACATCATAGTGACCAGTTGACCGGTTGTTCGGTTGCTTAGGTTTTTATATATATAGACTAGAGGCTCGGTGCATGAAAATTCATGCACTTGGTGGGGTCCCTCAGGTTTGCCTGTGCCCTCTCACAGTCCAGGAGCCCTTGGGGGATGTCTGACAGCAGTCAGACAACCTTAGCACTACTGTGGGTGTGGGAGAGGCTCCCACCACAACTGCTGTGCTTGCCAGTCATCAGCCTGCCTTGTTACTGAGCAGCACTCCCCCTGAAGGAGCGCACTAATCACCAGTGGGCAGCTCTGGCCCCGCCCCCCCATCGCCCTGCTGATGCCCCAGTGGCCTCCCTCTGTGAAAGGCGACCAGTGGGTTGATTGGGGCCTGGAGACAGCTGATGATCAGCCAGCCCCACCCCCCAATCCCTGTACCCTACCTCTGCCTGCTGGCACCTGCCTTGGCTGGCCTGGCACCACCCACTCGCTGGCCCCATTCCCCACCAATCGGTCATTCCACCAACTGGTCAATTTGCAAGCAGTCAATTAGGCTTTTATTATATGGGACTAGAGGCCTGATGCATGAAATTCATGCACTCGGGAGCATCCCTCAGCCCGGAGTGTGCCCTTTCACAGTCTGGGGGCCCCGCGATTGATTGCCCCAATGAGGTAGGCCCTGCCCACCTAACTGGGGCTCCTTGAGAGATCATCCCAAAGAGGTAGGTCCTGCCCACCTAGCTGGGGCTCCTCGATGGATCACCCCCACAGAGGGAGGCCCCGCCCACCTGTCGCAACCGCCTGGTCGGTAGCCTGGGCTTCCTTCTTTGGGGTTATTGTGGAGCACCCCATTGATCGCCCTGCCTGCTGGTGGCCTGGGTCTCCCTCTGCAGGGCGATCATGGGGCGATGACCGGGCCCCTGACCAATCACATCGCACCAGCCTTGGCTGGCCTGGCATCAGTGGATGTCATAGTGTGGTCATCTGGAAGGTTGTTTGGTCGATTGGCATATTATTCTTTTATTATTATAGATATGCATTACCTATGGACAGACAATAGAGTGGTGAAGGCCTGAGACAGGGTGCGAACTGGGTGGAGGGAGGCAATGGGGGGGGGGAATGGGAGGGTCTTTAATACTCTCAATAATAAGGGGTTAAAAAAAGAAGAAATCAAATATAAGAATAATAAAATGGCAATAAATACATATCTTTCAACAATTACTTTAAATGTAAATGATTAAATGCTGCAATCAAAGACATTCAGTGACTGAATAAAAAATAAAACAAGACCCTTACATATGCTGTCTACAAGGAGACTTACTTCAGATTAAAAGACCACACAGACTGAAAGTGGAATAATGAAAGAAGATATTTCCTGAATATAGAATCAAATAAACAAAAAAGTTAAGGTAGCAGAGAAAAAAAAAAAGGTTGGGTAGAAATTTTTGCACCAGACAAATTGACTTTACAACAAAGGCTATAACAAAAGATGAATAAGGCCCCGCCAACGTGGCTCAGTGGTTGCACATTGACCTATGAACCAGGAGGTCATAGTTCGATTCCTTGTCAGGGCATATTCCCAAGTTGTGGGCTTGATCCCCAATGTGGGGCATGCAGGAGGCAGTCAATCAATGATTCTCTGTCACCATTTCTCTCTCTCTCTCTCTCTCTCTCTTTCTCTCTATCTCTCTCCCCCCCCTTCCTTTCTGAAATAAAAAGCAAATTTTTTAGAAAAGGTGAAGAAGGACCCAGCAACTCCACTTTTGGGGTATTTATCTGAATAAACCTAAAACACTAAAAAGAAAAGATATATACACGTATATGTTTATTGCAGAATTATTTATAACTAGAGGCCTAGTGCATGAATTCATGCACGGGTGGGGTCCCTCGGGGTGGCCTGTGGGGATTGAGCTGAATCCTGCTGTCCAACGTCGTCGCCTGCCACTCCTGCCTGCTGCTCCCGCTCTTCCTGGCCCCGGCGCGCCTGCCGTGGGCTCGCACCACTGCAGCAGCACTCGCCATCTGTGAGCCCAGTGTCTAGCGCCTGTCTCGAGGGTGGTGGGGGGAGCTGGGACGTGACTGGCCCTCTATCCAGACGGTGGGATGCCCTTGCTGGCCAAGGATCCGGACTCGGTCTGCTGACGTTTGTGTCGGTTCTCAGGAGCCACCTGGCAGCTGCTTTTACAACACTTCTTCCTTGTGAAGCGTCCAGGATGGGCAAGCTGCTGAAGTGCCTGAAGCCGGTGGCGCTGTTGGGATCATGCTGGTGGCGCTGGTCCATCAGTGCCTGGGCCACTCTCTGGAGACTGAACCTGTGGGGCTACTGAGGGAGTGAGTGGTTGCCACTGGGCTGGTGGGCTTCTGGGATGGGTTGGTCAGCTGAGTGGCGCTTCTACTGTGGGAGCACACTGACCACCAGGGGGCAGCTCCTGCATTGAGCGTCGGCCCCCTGGTGGTCAGTGCGAGTCATAGTGACTGGTCATTTGGTCATTCAGTCGCTTAGGCTTTTATATATACTAGTGGCCCTGTGCACAAAATTCATGCATGGGGGAGGGAATGTTCCTCAGCCCAGCCTGCACCTTTTCCAATCTGGGACCCCTCAGGGGTTGTCTGTTCCTGTGGGATCAAGCCTAAACCAGCAGTCGGACATACCTCTTGCAATCCAGGACTGCTGGTTCCTAACCACTTCCCTGCCTGCCTGCCTGCCTGATTACCCCTAACCACTCTGCTGCCAGCCTGATCAACCCCAAGTGTCCTGCCTTCCAACCTGATCACCCCTAACTGCCCCCCCGCTGGACTGATTGCCCCCAACTGCCCCCCCACCAGCCTGCTCCCCCCTAAATGCCCCCCGCACTGGCCTGATCACCCCTAACCGCCTCTAACTCAGCCCCACCACCATCACTTTGTACAGAAGGATGTCCAGAAGGTCTCCTGGAAGGTCTCCTGGTCCAATTAGCATATTACCATTTTATTAGTATAGATAGATAGCTAAGATATGGAAGCAACCTAAGTTTCTATCAATAAATGAAGGGATAAAGAAGAAGTTTCCAGTGCATATATACAATTGAACATTACTCAGCATAAGAAAGAATGACATCTTGCTATCTGTAACAATATTGATGGACCTAAAGGTATTATGCTTAGTGAAATAAGTCAGACAGAGAAAGATAAAGTCAGATGATTTCACTTATATATGGAATCTAAAAAACAAAATAAATAAACAAGCAGAACAAAAACAGTCTCATAGATACAGAGCACATTTTGACAAATGGTTGCCTGATGAGAGAGGGTTTGTGGGAATGGGTGAAAAAGGTGAAGGGATTAAGAAGTACAAATGGAAAGTTACAGAATAATCATGGGGATATAAAGTACAGCATAGGGAATATAGTCAAAAATATTTTTATAACTACATATGGTATCAGATGGGTATAAGGTTTATTGTGTTGATTACTTTGTAAGTTATATAAATGTCTAATCATGGGATTGTACACCTTGAACTAATATATTGTGTCAACTGTAATTTAAAAATTTAAAAAATCAAATTACTTCAATGTTACCTTGCCAATGGCTCTAAATTCTTTGATCTCTTGCAGCCTCATAAGTTTAGAAAATAGTCTTAAAATGAAAAAAAGTTGAAAAATTTTAAAAGATAGTGATTTTAGATCGTAAGTCTCTAGAAGCAAGAGATCATATTTTATATGTTTTTTGTCCTTTCACAGAAGCTTTACTTGTCCCCAGAAAACTTTATATCACAGTATTTATAGCATGTTAATTTAGTTATTATTTGAAATTTATTAAAAATATTTCTATACTTGGCATCATTTACCTTTATAATTACAATCCTCAAATGAAATCATTAAGGTAACAGGTTAAAAATTAGTCTATGCTAGAATTGGGCTTTATTTACAAGTGACTTTTAGCATAAAAATGAATTCTATGGTACTAGGGACAAATTCCTTAATCTCCTTTTTCCCTTTGGAAATGACTGACTACTTGGATCTTGAGCTTTGATATTTCCCAACAGTCTTCCATGCCCACAAATGGTCAGACTGAGTTACTTCTTCACTAGAAGGAGTCATCACTCTTCTGAAATTTTCACTTTACTCTATTATAGCTTAAATATATCACATTGTAACGATTTATTTACACATCTGTATCTCACACCAGATTGAGCTATTTGGGTTTAGGCCCTCGTCTTATGCCCTTAATATCCAGAAGAATGACTTTCAGGTACTATCTCCAAGCCTGTAAGGGCAGGGGTTCAATAAATGTTAAATAAGAACAGAAAGACACATACAGATATCAAAAAAACATAACATCTAAACATCATATGTACTTACAACATAATTAAAGGATGTATCAGCAACCACTGCAAACTGACGGTACAATGTGTGCCTAGTAAACATCTCATTCTTAAGGACATGAAAACTGAAAAAAAAAGCAACAGTAAAATTAGAATATATAGATATCATAGGATAAAACAAATCAGTATGATGTTCATGTAGTTAGGAACTAAAATTTTCAGTGTTAGAGCAAAGAAATAGGAGTAAAAATTTCAAAATATGAGTATGAACAGATTTCTTCTTTTATTTTTAAAATTACGTATTTTCCAGCTTTGAGAGACACTGAAGCAATGGCAACACCATTTCAATGAGCCACCCGAGGGCCCAGGCTATGGTTTTAAAACATTTCTCCCTAAAATGAATCAGGACATCTTTCAGAAATGGCTCTTTCTAGAACTAAAGCAATAAATATGCAAGATGAGTTTGGAGCATTTTATTGTTAAGGGAATCATAAAAAAATTATCTAAAACACATACCACAAAGTTGTTAATTTTAAAGGGCTACAATTAACTTAAGATTGGAGAAATTAAGCATAAAAATAATGATTATAATGTATTGAATCAAACTTATATATTAAAACTTTAAGAAATTCTCAGTCTATCTATATTGCAAATAATGCTAAAATTAGGAGATTCACTATCTAGAAATCATGCTCTGTAGAGGAAGCCAAGTGTATGCTGGACAACCTTTGGCAAGCTAGTAGGAAGAAAAAATTACAGTATTCAGTCACACAAGGCGCTCTTAGAAGAGATTTTGGTATGTGACTCATGGATCAAAACCACTATGAGGTACCACTACAGAGCTACAAGGCTGACTAAAGCCAAAAAGACAGACAACAAATGTTGAAAAGGACAGAGAAATTGGAACCCTCATTTATTGTGGAATTGTAAAATGGTGTAGCCACTTTGGAAAACATTTTGGTAGTTCCTCAAAATGGTAAAAAGAATTATCATGTGACCCAGTAATTCCTTCCTATGTGTATACACAAGAGGATTTAAAACATATGTTCACACTAAAACTTGTACACAAATGTTAATAGCATTATTCATAGTCGCCAAAAAGTGGAAATAATTCAAATGTCTAATAAAGAATGCATAAAAATATGGTATAATCATACAATAAAATATTATTTGGCAGTCAAAAGAAGCAGAGTACTGATGTATTCTACAACATAGATGAACTTAAAAACATGCCAAGTGAAAGAAGCTAGTCACTAAAGGCCATATATTTTATGATTCCACTTATATGAAATGTCCAAAATAGGCAAATCCTTAGCAATAGAAAACAAATTAGTGGTTGTTAGTTGTTGACAGGAAGGGGAATGGGAGGCAACTGCTAATGGGTATGAGGTTCCTTTTCGGGTTGATGAAAATGTTCTGATTAGAAAGTGGTAATGGTTGCCCAATTCTGAATACACCAAATCCACATTTTAAAAAGGTGATTTTGTGGAATGTAAACTATGTATCAATAAAGTTATTATACAGTAAGTTACTGTGTATGCTAAAAATGGAATCCTATGAATAAAGAAGAAAGTAGAGTAACAAACAAGAACTTTAATATCATTATAATAAACATATAAAATAGAGGAGAGAATCAAAATGGCGGCATAGGTAAACGCCTGTACTCACTGCCTCCCACAACCACATCAAAATTACAACTAAAATACAGAGCAACTACCATCCAGAACCACCGGAAAGCTGGCTGAATGGAAGTACTACAACTAGAGAGGTAAAGAAGAAAGCACACTGAGACTGGTAGGAGGTGCGGAGGCCCAGAAAGGGCTGGTCCGGCACCCAGGTGTGTCGCTTTTTTAATCCAGAGGGAGATCACCTCTGTGGAGCCCACTCCCACCCCCTGGAGGAGCGAGGGGTCCCAGCCCCACACCAGACCTCCAGCTCAGGGCTGGGGAAAGAAGTCCCTATGGCAGTAAGAACTGCAGACTGTAAAAACCAGTGCGGATTGGGGCTGAGTGTCACACAGGCTGCTGGAGACCAAGCTGCTCCTCTTAAAAGGCCAACACCATGAACTGAATTTACAAGCTCCTGCATCCTCTGAGCTTCAGTGCTGGGCAAGGCGGGGGACCCAGGCACATACAGGGAGAAACTGGACTGTTTGGCATCAGGGCAGGAACGCAGGGGTGGCCTTTCTTCCAGATGAAGGTGCTCACAGCGGTCATTGTTGCCATGCTGGGACCTGCCCGGTGCAGGGCTGACTGGCAGCCATTTCTGTTTGCTCTGCCCTGGTGATTCCCTGAAACCCCACTCCACCCAATTTACAACCCCACCCAAGCTGTGTGCAATGGCTTTTGCATATGAATGGCCTATCCTTTCTCAGGCTAAAAATCTGTCAAACAAGCTGCAGCAGGGCCAGGGAGCACCAAACCTATCAATAAAAGGCCCAAGAACCAGCACCAGCACCACCCTACCTTGCTTCACAGCTTGGCCTCATCTGGACACTTCCAAACCCAATACAAAGAGGAGGATTATGCAGATCTCTCTGTAGCTCCTGCTGGCTGGCCCCAGGCAGTGGCTGACTTTGCATCTCCTTGGAGACCCAAGAGCCAGTATACCCAGTGGTCAGTGTGAGACCATACCAGATTACAACTCTTCACATCTGTAAGTGACGCACTCAAGGGGCAGACTCAGTGCGCACCAAAGCCCCACTGAAGCAAGTCCTGCTCCATAAGGGTGTCTCCTGCACAGCAGCTCTCCCACTGTAATTGCAGCTGGTCCCCACAACCAATTGGCTGGAGGTCAATTTTTCCAAGTGACACCAAAAGCAATCAATGCTCAATAACAAAACTGTGCACACAGCCCACAAAGGGGTGCATCAAAGAGTGTCTGCCTCAGGTGATTGGGGAGGCTGAGCCACTTGGCCCTATAGGACACCTAATACTCAAGGCTACTCTGTCAACTCAAGGAGACTTAGCAGCTACTCAATACATACAAACAAACATAGGGAAGCAGCCAAAATGTGGAGACAAAGAAACATGTCACAAATAAAGAAATGGAAGAAAGCAAAGTACTGGATATATAGTTCAAAACCACAGTTATAAGGCTACTCAGAATCTTCTAGAAACCTCTGAAGAACTTAGTGAGACTTTCAAGGATGTTAGTGAGAATGCCAAAAAAAAAAGAAAGAAATGGAAAATGAGCAGTCAGAAATTAAGCATACACTGATTGAAATAAAGAATAATATTCAGAGATTCAACAGTAGACTAGAGGATCCCGAGAATCAAATCAATGATTTGAAATACGAGGAAGCAAAAAACACCCAATCAGATCCAAATGTATGAAGATAGTGTAAGGAGCCTCTGGGACAACTTCAAGCATACCAACATTGGAATTATGGGGTTGCCAGAAGAAGATAGAGAGAGCAAGATATTGAAAACCTCTTTGAAGAAATAATGACAGAAAACTTCCCCTACCTGGTGAAAGAAATAGACTTACAAGTCCAGGAAGCACAGAGAACTCCAAACGAGAGGAAACCAAAGAGGACCACATCAAGACACATCATAATTAAAATGCCAAGGGCAAAAGACAAAGAGAGAATCTTAAAAGCAGCAAAAGAAAAACAGTTAGTTACCTACTAGGCAGTGCCCATATGACTGTCAGCTGATTTCTCAACAAAAACTATGCAGGCCAGAAGGAAGTGGCAATAAATATTCAAAGTGATGAATAGCAAGAACCTACAACCAAGATTACTCTACCCAGTAAAGCTATCACTTAGAATTGAAGGTCAGACAAAGAACTTCACAGACAAGCAAAAGCTAAAGGAATTCATCACCACCAAACCAGTATTATATGAAATACTGAAGGGTATTCTTTAAGAATAAGAGGAATAAGAAAAAGATAAAGATAAGAAATATGAACAACAGCCCTAGCTGGTTGGGCTCAGGGGATAGAGCGTCAGCCTACGTACTGAAGGGTCTGAGGTTTAATTCCAGTCAAGGGCACATGCCCAGGTTGTGGGCTTGATCCCTGGTGGGTGGCATGCAGGAGGGAGCCAATCAATGATTCTCTCTCATTATTGATGTTTCTATCTCCCTCTCCCTTCCTCTCTGAAATCAATAAAAATGTATTTTAAAAAAGAAATATGAACAACAAAGTGACAACAAATACATATTTATCAATAATTGAATCTAAAAATCAAATGAATGAAAAACCTGATGAACAGAATAAATTGGTGAATGGAATAGAATCAGGGACATGGAAATGGAACAGACTGACGATTTTCAGAGGGAAGGAGGTGTGGGGGGTGGTACGGGAAGAGATTAGACAAAGATCTTATATGCATGTATGCATTACCTGTGGACACAGACAATAGGGTGGCGAGGGCCTGGGGTGTGGTGAGAACTGGGTGGACGGGAGCTATAGGGGGGTGGGGAGGAAGAGGGACATCTATAATAATCTCAACATTAAAGATTAATTTTAAAAAAGAAAATAGAGGAAAAGATCAATAAAATAGACAAAAAGATGGGGAATTTCAGTAAAGAAATTGAATTGATTTTTTTTTTTAAAAAGAGTAATCAGCCCTAGCCGGTTTTGCTCAGTGAATAGAGTGTTGGCCTGTGACCGAAGGGTCCTGGGTTCTATTCCAGTCAAGGTCATGTACCTTGGTTGCAGGCTGTATCCCCATCCCTGGTCAGGGTGCATGCTGGAGGCAACCAGTCAATGTGTCTCTTTCACAATAATGTCTTTCTTTCTCTCTGTCTTTTCCTCTCCTTTCCACTCTCTCTAAAAATCAATGGAGAAATATCCTCAGGTGAGGATTAATAAAAGAAAACAAAATAAAAAAGAGAGATAAATCATCTTAGAACTGAAAACACCATATATAATATTAAGAACTCCATAGATGGACTAAATAGCAGAATGGATATAGCAAAACACGTGATTATTAATCTCAAAAGCAGATCAATTAGAAAATATACAAAAATGAAGCACAGTGAGGGAAAAATAGGCAAGTGCATAAGAGACATATGGGTAACAGTGAAAAGGAACAACATACATATAATTAGAATCCAAGAAAAAGTGAGAATGAGACAGAAGTAATATATGGGAAGATAATATCCAAGAATATTCCAGA